GATCAGATTTTTAGAAGTGCTCTGCACCTAAAAGTTTCATTGTGGTGTTTGTGGCCAGATTTTCACAGGAGCTTAGCAATCAACATGCACCCAGAATGTGAGCTCTTTCAGAATTCTGGTTTTCGTGTGTGGTTGCCGAGCTATTTTTGAAAGCCTGGCTGGCTGCACAAAACATACTCTTTAGCTCTCATTTGCTTCCCTACATAGTTAGATAGGTGACATATAAAACCAAATGCAGTATTCATCTTCCACAAATAAATAAATACTATAAGCAAATAATTAATAATCAAATCAGTAAGAAACAAAGAAAAAATAACCAAGGAAAACAGACATAATCAATTCAGATGCCAAAGTCTTCTAAAACAAATTGCAGAGGTCTCAGCAAAATATATGAACAAATACTCAATTCTATCCCTGTTCAGGAAATCTTGTTAAGCAGATACCTTTAACTCATTGATTCCAATGGAATGTACACTTCATGGGTTTGAAAGAAAAGAAAGCAAATTCAAGAAGAGAGTTTAAAGTAGGCAGACAAGTAGAGAAAGTTGGAAAAACACCCACAAGAAAAAGAAACTATTCACAAAAAGTCAGTAAATTTAAAAATACAACAAAAGCCACTTGATCCACTGGCCAATTGTTGTCCAGTATACCTAATAAAATTGCACAAGCAACATACAGTGAAAATACAAAAAAGCACCACAGCATTCAATTTGGAACCTTGCTAGTTAGTGGCATAAAAAGACGAGATTCAAGCCTACAACTGCTGTGCTCTGAGAATGTAGTCCACTTGATGGAGCACTGAGCTGTAAAACAAGATCATGATAAGTTTTCTAAAAGATTTTTGGAGATCTGTTGGTGAAAAAGGACTGCATTAGAAAGTGATTTTCAGAGTGCTCTTTCACAACAATGTCCTAATAATTTGACTGGCTCTTTTTTTTTTAAAGATTTGTATGTCGCCCTTGGCAAAGAAATGATAGAAGATTCCAGCTTTTAGGCACACATTGCAACATAACAAAGGATGAAAGAGAGGAACAAGTTCATCCTAAAGCAGATTCAGGAGTGCATCCACAAACCAAGGATATTAAGAGTGATGCTACATTCCAGGGCTGGAACAGACCTCAAGAGATGGTGTAATTGATCCCTTTCCCCCAAGACAGGCTTTAATGAAAGCCTGGAAGAGAACGAGAGGAACTGAATTACCATCCAGGATCTTTGGTCAAGTGCGAAGATGAGGAGTCTGCCTGAGAAAAGCACTTCAGCAGCTCCCTTAGGGAAATGCCCACTGATCATCCCAGACTGCCACCAGATCATAGTTTTGATTAATAGGTTCAGATTCATAAATTTAGCATTTCTAGATGAGTCACAACACTTATGACATGGCTTTTTACATGTGGTGAAGGCTCCCACAGCTATTCCATGTCTGAACCACAGAGAAAAACTGGATAAAAAATTACTTAGATTCCTAAGTCTTCACTTTTGTCTCAGCCTAACTTTTAAGAACTATGGCCATCATTTTGTGCTAATTATTGTTTTTTAAAACCAAGTTTGAGCAAAGCACCATTTCAATAGCTTAAAGCTCAGAGTTTGGTAAAAAAAGAAGGCACAGGCTAGGGCTCAGGACACATGAAGTTTCATTCCTAACAGTGCTACAGATTCCCATTGGGATTTGGCAAATCACTTAATCCCACTGCACCTGGATTCCCATCTGCAAAACTTCCAAATTGCACGGTAAGGACTTCAGGGTATTACCTAGAGTGTTGGGTATATGCACAGCAGCTTTTCACACCACTGGTCTTATACTAGGGGCTTTTAGGCTCAACTGCAGCATAAGTCATGACTTTTATCTTTTTTCTAATTCCTTAAGAAAAAAGTAGAAAAACAGAAGACGGTTTCTTGTTCTGCCAAAAGGAAGAGAGGGTGGGTGCAAGGGTAACATACAAAACATGCCTAGGTTCACCACTCTTCCTGTTTGTCTCTGCAAAATTACATGACAGATGACTTCTAGCTAGTTTCAGCTTTGCTAATAATTTGAATGGCAACCACTTTCTTGCATGGTCTGGGGAAGAATAGTGTCTCACTCTGGAGTAATGCCTGAGCGCCGATGCTGTTGCCCAAGTGCTAGAGGCAGGAAGTGCAACTGCTAGTCCATGAAAGAGTGAAAGTGACTATCTGCAAAGAGATTTTTACATTTTACAGACTTACAAAACATATTTAGGCTTTTAAATCCAAAGCATATATCTAACTTCTCAAGGATTTTGGTGGGAGTCTAGCAGCCTTAATACCTTCACACATCTTTCCAGAACTACTGGCAAACACACAAAGCGAAAAAAAGATTTATAGGGATCACTTTTGTGTCTTTTTTCTGACTTTCCTCTTTCTTCTGCTTAAAATCATAGCAATCTCGATGTCTGACAATCATAGAGAATAAATATACTTTATGAAGAACTTAATAGAATTTTTCAGGTGGAATTGAGTTTTTCACAGCTTTGAGATGTCAGAATCTTTTAGATCTCAGAGATCTTGGTCTCCTGGTTGCCAGAAATCAATGAAACCCATGGCCTCACTCACTAAAAAACAGGAAAATAACATGGAGAATACCAGAGAAGGTAATACAGAACCTGCTGCTCAAACTTACAAATCCACTATGATACCATACTGCTGCAAATAGTTCCAGACAACATCTCTGTCTGTCTCCACCACAGTGCACACATCAGCTTCTATTCTTCAAAGCTCTTCAGCAACAGCAGTATGACATGGCAGAACTAAGGGTTAATAGCTCAGAAACTCAGAAATCCCTGTTCAGCACTATGTTGTATGCTATGTGTGCTGTATTTTTAAAGCACATTTTTCAATAATCATTTTATACTATTTTATGTTCTAATTCAAGCAGAAGTTACAAGTTAGATGAAGGCTGTGAGAAATCAGATGACTTGTGCAGGAGGTGAGATAAAACAATCAGAACGGTACATTATGCACATAAAAGCTTGACATTAATAAGTTTGGTTGCAGTAATATGGGTCAAATTTGATCATCGTACAATGCTTAGCACCTTATTTTGCCTGTGAATCTACTGCTGTAGTGAATAAGGCTGTGTGAAGAGTGATGTGCTATTCCCCACAAGTATGGCAGCATGTGACGCATTACAAAAGGATATGCATTCTCCCTGAAACTGATGTAAGAAACAGAAATGAACAGACTTAAGGTGGAGCTCAGAAATTCCAGCTACTTCCAAGGCAGCTCCCAGAAACTAGGAATATTTAGCACATACTCTGCCATATGTAAGGCCCAGCATTATGCCTTTTCTTCAGAATAGAGAGGGAAATATTTTTACAGTTTCTTCTCCCTCTGCTTCCCCCAACAAAGTATCCCTTCTGTAGTTTCCTCACAAATATGGACTGTGCAAGAGCAATGAAAGGACAGAAAAGAAAGGCCTATGCAAAGAGAAAATCTGATTAAGTAAACAGAACAGTCTCTTTCCTCTTTTGTTTTACCTTTTTTTAGTTCTTACCATTATATTGTTACTTCTACCGTTTTACTTTCTCAAAAGTCTGCAAATAAATGCTTAATTCCAGCTCAAGCTACTAAAAAGAACTTTAGGAAAGCCTTAAAGTGAAAACTTCTGCACGTCAAAGTTCGTGATCTAGCTAGAAGTCAGGAGGTGTTCCTAACGGCATTCAGGGAGCTTTTGCAAACTCAAAGGCCATCTAGTGGCTAAAGTTAAAAATCACACATTTTTAACATGGCAATATTCAAGTCACACTAGTCATCAAAGAATGGCATATGCACTTCTACCCAACAGACCTGTTATTAATAGTAAAGAACAGGAAGTGTTTGAAGTATGAAAGCATGTCATAGTTTGAAAATAAACATAGCTTTTTTGGAAGTAAGAACTCTATTCAGAATGGCATCAACAGAAATTCCTGGTGCATGCTAAGCTCAGAACCTTCTCTTCCATGTCCTCTGCACTTGAGCCTTGAATGTAACACAAATCTATTTCCTGCTTCTGGGCATTTACAGGAATGCCTGCGTTAGGTAGTCTCAGCATCATTAGGAACCATTAGTCAGGTGTTTTGGGGTATGATCTAGCAGATGTGCTCAGACTAGCGTCATATGCAGCCTTTCTCAATTGAGAAAATGGGCAAGGTGCCTGCTGAGTTCTTAAAATTAACTCAGTCTAGCAAATAGTCTAGCAAGGTTAACAGCAGGAGGGAGAGTATACTCTGATTTCCATCCCAGACTAGGTCAGAGTCTGCTGATAGTGAAGAGTTCATCACACTAAGACAGTATATTGCACTGGTGCTACCACAGGCAGCTTTTACTTCCCAGGATGGGCACACTAAGGGTAGCTTTTGGTCTGACAGTCAATTATTCAGTCCACTATAACCATCCTGTACTAGATGGATGGCAGGGTCACTGGGGCCACAGAGCAACTCCTGGATGGAAAAAAACCGTAACCAACATTTCTGGTTGAAAAGCGTGATGCATGGTGTTAGGAGCATAATTTCCCTGAAACTATAACACTAATGTGATACAATAAAGAATCAGGCCTTAATGTTCTATGACAAATTCATACTTAGTCAAAACAGGTTGCATTTAAGATTACCATAAGACAAGTAGATGGATAAAATCTCAATAGACATATCTCTGCTCATTTTGTATCATCAGCTTCCTTGACTGATTTTGTATATCTAGGCTGAATGGTCCCTTACATGTATACAGACCTACACTGACCACTGTAGGCAGTTACCCTGCAGTTACCACCATTTATTAGCGACTCAGTTATTAAAAAGGACTCTTCAAGTTCAACCTTGAATCTGAAAGCCCACTGGTGCTTCCTGTGTTAATAGACCTCATTCAAGTTATTAAAAAGAATAAGGAATGTTCCCCCCAATTTTTTTTATTCTTTTGCCCAAGACCAGCTCTTTAACTGTTTTTTCCCCTTTCCCAAGTAACAAAAACTCAAGAGGCAGTTCAAAATCACCCTAATAAGAGAAACATACTGTGCAGTGCTTGTGTAGCGAGGCTTTGAAGTTCGCACATGGTTAAGTGGGATTAAGTCTACATCAGCATTGTCAATGTCTTCAAAATTTACTGCACCAACACAGCCACTGTTTGGATAGAAAGGAAATCAAAGATATGTACATTATTCATAAGACAGCTGGTGGAGGCAGCTGAACCATATACTGCATGGTCCAAAATTCTAGTTATTTATTAAAATGGTCCACAAGAAAAAACACGGAGATGAACTGCCCTGTGTGCTTGGCATGTCCCAAGATGAAAACAATCATCTGCTGAACTTGCAGCACATAACAAATGACAGCTCTAGTACATACACGCAGAGAGGAGGCTTGGGAAGAATGGAAATAAGATAGAAATGTGTCATCTCATGTCCTTTTGGCTATGCCCATAATCAGACTGGGATATTGTTCCAAAAAGGACATAATGGGCCCTGCTTTCTAGTTTACAGGTAAAAGGCTGGAGTCACCCGCAAGCAGAGGAGACTCAGCACACGCTCTCCCTTGGCACCAGAAAACACCTTAAGATTAGATAATATAGGCCATCTACAACTTTTGCTTCAGAAAATGAGAGATGGATTGCTTGGGCTTAATCAAAAATGTAGAAAGTAGAAACAACCCAGGGACATTGTACTTACGTATACAAAGGGATATGACAGATTCGAGAGCTTCGGCTTACACTGTTAAAGACAAAATAGATCAATCACCTTTTTTTCACCAGACAGAATATTCTGATAGAATATTTATGAGGTCTCAAAAGAGAGGTGGTGACAAGTCAAAGTTTTGCTCTTGGAATGATGCAATGCTCATTTGAATTTGGTAAAAGACCGTGGTAAATGATTAGATTGGCATATATGCTAAAAATGACCCAGTTACTTGTCTTTTAATCTTCATCCTCAGATACTGGGACTTCAGTTAATTTCCGAGGATAGTATAAGCAAGTTTTCTTTAAAAATGAACTGCTTCTCTACTTGTAACACTTCTCTAATTCAATTCTTGAGAACACAGGAAAATTTAACACCAGGTCTGAATTTCTCTCTTGGTCTGTCCCTGCAAGCTGCTCTCACTGGCCATGTGTATATTCCTTTGAAAGAGCAACATTCAAGAAACCATAATGATAGTGTTTTCTATCTCCCTTCCACCCTGCAGAAGTACTTGTCTCTCCCATTGTATGCCTGACTATGCCCAGTAGCACACCTGTCCATTGAGTTTGCCCAAGCAAACCTGCTGGCTCATGGCCTGGAAAGGAGGTGAGTTCCAGCTTTCCTATCTTGCTTTGACCAACCTTTCCTTCCCCGTCTCTACCTGCCTCTTATCTGAACCCTTCTGAACCTCCTTTTCTGGGCTCATCTAAAATGCTCCACTCTGAGATTGTTTTGGATTCTACAGCAGATAAAACCTTGCGTTTGTACAAGTGTATGATTACCGTGGTGTTTTCATAAACGTCATGTCTCAATGAAAACATCAACTGTATGCAGTCGTTACAATCATTCACTTTGCAGATTCCTTTTGTTATGCTTTTTATATTTAACTCTCTCACAGGAGAAGCATGTTAGAGCATACTTTTCACATAGTTATTGATTGAATATCTTAGCTTCTCTAGTTATAGAATGCTGCTAAATTTAGTCTTCTGAAATAATTAAGTTAATAATTAATAATTAAGTATGCAGACTTCATAAAGGAAGTGTTCAGAGGACCCCGATATTCACAAAAAAATGAAACTTACAAATCAACAGGTCTCTGTGGAGAGGTAAAAGATCTTGTTTGAAATCTGTCCCAGAAGCCTCCAACAACCTAAAATCATAATTAGATGCTTCTTGTAAGGCAACATTACCTAATTAATTTGGCTTAATAGATTTTCATGCAGCAATCAGAACCAATTGCAGGACTGAATTTTAGTTTAGTAAAAATAGTAAGTATTACAGTTAATAATAACAACTAACTTAATGTGAGATATGTTATGATACAGCATCATTCCTATCAACCAATTTTTCATCAATATCCTTATCCTCTCTTTTTGTACTGTGCATGTACATCTTCTTCTGTACCAATTTACAGGGGCGGGGGAGGGAAAAAATATGAAATCATTTGAGGCAATTACTGGAGTGTGCTGATGACCTTAAATGCTCACTTGGGACTAGTTTTATTTGAAAACATTGCTGTGGGTTTATGTGTATGACCTACACAAAATTTAGGCTACATTTCATTAGCAAAACCTAAAACCAGTTGGCAAGAAATTGTTCACTGACTTGACTTATTTCAGGTTCAGGATTGTATCTCCTTTTTGTGAAACACTGGGAAACAGGATCAGCCAACACCTCCATTGTTGATTCTGGAGGCTGGATTTTGGAAGGTAATATGTTATCCCAAGGAACTTCTTCATAAGCTCTAGATCAACAATAAAAAAGAAGAGAAAAAAGTTCCCGTATAATCATTAGTGAATGACATCGTAGCTAGATAATAAGGAATTATGTGACAAAGAAGGATGTAGAAAATAACAAAGGTGTATATTTCTAGTTTAAAGGGAAATGAAATGTCTGGAATTACATGTTGCTTGTTGGGGAATAAGTAGTTATGGTACAGTTTCACAGGTTTATCTTCTTTAAAACTTTCTCACTCTCTAATTGAAAAAGATAGTTTATCTTCCAATAAGCTTACAGTGATGATGGGTTTTATTTTGTTGAATTTGAATAGTCAGTTAAGTAAGACGAGACATAAATAGAGATTAGACACCATTCATATCATGCCTGTTACAGGTGTTGAAGACAGATGTACAGAATGCCCTTTTGGAAACCCCAGTTTCTCTTCACTGCCTATAGAGGAAGTGGAGATGAAAGGCACAGACTGGATGCAAGCTTTTAGATAACTAAAGTTCATGAGATGAATCCTATGCTAAATGCTGTTAAAACACCAGAAGTTCCAAGTGATAGAAAAATTGTTTGTATTCTTATATGTCCTGCTACCTAAAGGTGCATAGTAGCAAAAAGAAGATGAAAAAATGAAGCAAAGCACAAGCAAAAACTGTTTTTAAAAGAAATGGCGTCTCACTTTTGAGTATTTGACTTGTAGAAATAGTCCGTTGCTTTTTCTTCTCTCCACCTTGCAGAAGGATCACTTGATTCCTAAGAGAAATCAAATACATGGCAGAAAGCAATGCTATCAACATATATGATACTATGATTGCTTGTTTAAAGAGTGAACTGTATGTATCTGCATTTTTCTAGTTTGCTATCTTCTTTTGCATCACAAAGTGAAACATGCAATTTCACATACTTCAGCCAGCCAGAACTGGAGATCAAGAGTGGATCTATTTCTGAGGAGTTTTACTCAGGAAGGAAAATTTAATATAGAATCATAGAATCATTAAGGTTGGAAAAGACCTCTAAGATCATGGAGTCTAACTGTCAACCCAACACCATCATGCCCACTAAACCATGTCCCTATGTGCCACGTCTACCCACCTTTTAAATATTTCCAGGGATGGTAACTCAACCACCTCCCTGGACAGACTGTTCCAATGTTTGACCACTCTTT